AATTTTAGTATGCCGTGTTCGGTGTTCTTCATTTACTGTAAACTTGTGACTCACCCCTTAAAATTGTGTTTAATAATTACTAGTCTGTAACAGAAACATTGGGGTGTTCATTGTGTTACTGGTCTGTTTTAGGTGGCGCAAGAGCTTAAGGGACAGATGCCTTGCACAGTTGACAGCCTGCTGAAACAGCTGCCTGGAGTGGGACGCTACACTGCTGCAGCTATAGGCTCTATTGCACTGGGCCAGGTTGGTCATCACACACACACTCACCCAAGCACACGCACATCTGCACCACAGCTACAACGCCACACTTGTTAGCTGCACTGTCTCGTTTAACACTGATGACTGAAAAGGTCTCTTTTGCCTAGGTTACTGGAGTTGTGGATGGCAATGTGATTCGGGTGCTGTGTCGCATGAGGGCCATTGGAGCTGACAGCACAAGTCCTGCAGTAACAGAGGCGCTTTGGTGAGATTAAACTAATGTCCTCAAGGAATCTGCATTTTGACTTTGATTCCAGCACCTACTTTAATGTCACTGTGATGTTGTTTTTTCACCCGTTGAGCATCCTTTGCAGGGGGAGTAAGATTTGTCGGCTAGGATTTTGTTTGACGATATTTAGATGCTGTTTTAAAAATGGAGGAATGATACTCAAAATATATAACAGAAAACTGGACTTGGGTATGAATCCAGAAGGCATTTTAGTCGAGACAGTTTTTACAGGCTCTCTAAGCTTGCACCCCTAATTGTTGAATTTGTACCAAATATTGCAGTTCACTTTCAGTTTGACCTTTTTTTTGTTTTGTTTCAGCTGCTCTCTGAACTTTGAAAATGAAGCGTTTCATGTGATTTTGAAGTTTCAACTAAGACTACTCCAAATATAGTCTTAAGATACAGTTATTTTCTTTATTTCAGGAGTCTAGCCAATTCACTGGTGGACCCTGAGAGACCCGGCGACTTTAATCAAGCCATGATGGAGCTAGGAGCCCGAGTCTGCACCCCTAAAGGACCAGTGTGCAGCCAGTGTCCTGTACAGTCTCTCTGCCACTCTTACTACAAGGTAAAAAGCAACCTAAATGCTAAACAAGTGATGTTAATGTAAACGCTGAAGATGTTAACAGATTATTAATGCCTTGGACTAGATTGTACACAATGGTATTCTTAAACTGTGTGTAAATGTGCAGGTTCACGTTAAACAAGAGAACAACTCCAGGAAGCTCTTGGCGAAGCGGGACAGGAAGCTGTCAACCCTGCCTGATATAGAAGACTGTAGTAAGTGTCCTGAGTCCTCATCGCTCCCTCATACCTCTCAGACCATTGTGCAGTCATCAAAGTACTTTCTCCTCTCCCTCAGTGAACAGCAGGACATGTCCGCTGTGTCCCACCGAGCCCTGGGACGACGAGCTAGGCGTTCAGAACTTCCCCAGAAAGCCGGCGAAGAAGCCGCCTCGAGTTGAGCGAACTCTGACCTGTGTGGTGATTAGACCTGGAGAGGAGGGAGAGGACGAGTACCTGCTCACACAGAGACCAAACAAAGGTCAGTGCCTGCAGTGGATCCCCATCTGTTTGTGGTGGCGGTGTTTTCTTTTCACTTCCCTATTTGAATCGTTGAATGGAATATGTTAATACAAATAGAGTAAAAATAAAGCTTCAATTAAATTAAATATACAATTCAACAACAACCCAATCTGTTGAGGTGTTATACTTTAAGTGTGTGTGTGTGTGTGTGTGTGTGTGTGTGTGTTTGTGCACTGACAGGTTTGCTAGCAGGCTTGTGGGAGTTTCCCAGTCTTGTGCTGGAGGAGAAGAACACTGAGATGAAACAGAAGCAGGCGCTGTGTGCTGAGATCAGCAGGATACTGGGAACGCCTCTGACTGAAAGCCTCCTCCAGTATGTGGGAGAGGTAAGCTTGATGTCTACTAACTGTCTTTTATGTGCAAACAAACTCTTTCTGTAGCTGTGTAACCACCTTCTGATGGCTCACTGATTGGCTGTTTGTAGGTGGTTCACATCTTCTCCCACATCCGCCAGACGTATGCAGTTCACAGTGTGTGTTTGAAGGACGGTGACACACAAACGCAGACTGAAAATGTGCAGTGGCTCACCAGATCTGCTCTGCAGGAAGCGGCAGTGTCCACAGGAGTGAAAAAGGTTTTTATTTTGTTTACACAGTGTGTGTGAAGCCCTGCTGTGAGGTCAGCAGTCACAGAAAGCGTGCTTTTGCAGCAGCAGGCTGGTGTATAGAGGCACTTAGCTGTAGTTTCCCTGGGTGTCATGTTACGGGATTATTAAATTGAGTTTCACAGATATGAAGGGCAGTTTTATTTGGTTGTTGTTTTAGAAAGATGTGACAGCAGGAGTGAGTGTCCTCATCTGTGCATGTGCAGTCTGTGTGAACAATCCATGAATGGGTGTGTTGTTAACTCTCCTGCAGATTATGAAGCTTTGTGATTCAGGGGACAGTCAGAAAGAACAAACTTCTAAGGTAGGAACTTCTGTATATTTATATTTCATAATCTTTTACAAAAATTTACATAAATCTATAATCTTAAACTAATAACAGTTTCCACCATTATCGTTTGCCTTAGGATGGAAAAAGACAAAAGCACGCCGGCATAAAGAAACCACAGACCTCAAAAAAACCCAAACTGAGTGCAGCCAATGGCAGCAGCAGGCAGCTCTCCCTCAGCTCCTTCTTCAAGACAGCTAAACAGGAATCTTAGATTCTTGATTGTGTGTGAAAGTCCTACATGGTGCCATTTTATGCACATGTGTCTTATTGTTAAAGCCCCCCCCCCCCTCCCCATGTTGCCACATTTAGGTATTATTGTGGTCTTTTGGTCTCTCTCTGGGAATACAAAATGCCATTAAATGTTGTTAACGAGGTCCGTTTTAAAATTGTTATGAAATGATAACAATCTGTATATTGATATGCCCGTAGGGACTTTGCCTCCACAGTGTACTTTGATTTGTAATTACCTCACAATGGATCATGTTTTTACCACTATATTAAAGCTAATCTTTCTATGAAGTTGCACCTGGATCGCATCCTAACATTTATTGCAGTAATTTCACGTCGGCTTAATACATAGCTAACCCACAATGAATTGATCTACTAACAAGCCATTGACTTCCACTGTTGTCCAAACACAATTAAAAAAACATAAACAGGCCAGGCTTTTTTGCACTGGGTGACATGTTCCTACACAGGCATTGTAGTTTCTTTTGAATCAATTCCACATATGTCATGGACTGCTGCTGCGTCACTAAGGCCCCAAATGTGTATTAATCCACAGCTGAAAATAGTCCCCAACAAATACACCATCTACTCCTGTTTGAGAAACATTTTCTAAAAACTACAGTGCCCATGTGCTACAATTTAGATTTATTTGTTAATGAAACTATATTTCTGAGACGTTTTTAAAAATGTATGTCTTCAGTAGGAATGAATGGGCTTTGAATTAAGTGCCATAGACATGTTAGTTTTTGTCTTTTTATAATAAAACTATCAAATAACAACTATTGAATGAAACCTTTAACTATAGGATTTGTCCGCTCCCTATAAAAAAACGCCCTTCAGCGAGACTTTATCATAATCAGAAGAAAAACAGGTTTATATTAGGTTTTCACATAGAAGGAATGTGTTCTGGTATTTTGGTGCATAATGGAAAAACAAGTACTGCAAAAATCAATTCATTCATCTTTTAAACACGACTGTTTTCATTCCAAAGATAACAGACATTCAGTTGTGTCCCCAGGATAGCCAGATAGTGACGTATTAGAAATAACCCCAATGAGTGGGAGGTGTGGTGGTGTGATGGTATGGTGATGTTTAAGCCGCAAAACCACCCAAAAGCACTCAACTGAAATAAAACAGGAAAAGAAACTAAAGAGACCAACTGATGCAACTAAGCAGCAGATTGAAATGTGTGTGTAAAAATGAACACAACTTCTTTAAGCTCATAAGCTCATATTCTCCATCTTAGTTGTCAGATGCTCTCTGTAATGACATGTCTTGCTATGATGTGTGGCATTCTAACATTTATAGCTGTCGTTTAATGTTAATGTTTTACAAGCAGCATGTAAGATATTTGTTGTGTTTATCACTATAATAAATACTGTAGAGAAAGTAACTTTGGATAATAAAGCCCAGACACAAGACTAAAACCAGGTTGTCCATGTTATAATGATGTTCTTTCTTGTTACTGCCAACTAATTTCACTTTATAGAATATAGAATTTTATAGAATAATTTTTTGTAATAACCTGGTGTGTCACAGGGTCATACCAAGGGACATACCTAGTTAAAGACCACAGAGAATGTATTGTAGATTTCTTAGAAAAACTGGCTTTTACACAATCTGAAGTTTTATTTAGTGCATGGAATGAGACAGACAACTTGTTTTAGGAATGTGAATACAAAGAGGAATTTTGAAAGTTTGATTGCTTAGTATTACAGAAGCTGTAAGAATCTAAGGGGGCTGCATGGATACAAGTCCCGGTCCTGGATTAAAGGTTTTTTTTTATGAGGAGCATTTTCTGCGTTGAACTCTGGTCTGTGATTTGTCTTTATCTAATGCAAATATTTTTTCCCCCTAATACCCTGAAGTGACTGGCTGATTTGTAGTCTTGCATTTCCTTTTTAATAATGTCAAACAGGTCTATATGTATCCCTTAATGGATAAGAGGGTGCTTTTGTTTTTTTATATAAAAAACCCTATATAATTAAAAACATGGAACTATACAAACCACACCTAATGAAAAGGAAGTTCACAACAATGAAAGTCTGTCACATTATAGCAGGGAACAGCGCCCCCTGCTGTGTCAACAACCTCCAAACCAAACCCAAAGCGACGAAAAAACCAGGAAGTGATTCAAATCTTACTTCTCTCTACACTGTCATTCAATCTACCCAGGTGGAAGACAACTGCGTATTGGAAGTGTGGTCAGTGCTCTTTTGGTTTACTTGGCCGCAGTGAAGCCCCTTGCAGCCGCCCTGCCTCGGTTGTTCACTCATCTGTCTCAGGGTTTGGATTTACCTGGATCTGGCAGCAGGGAGTGCTGCAAGTTGAACTTTGCTAATACTTATTTGCCAGATTGTGTTCAAAGGTTCTCCCGGCGTCGCCGCGGACGTTTAGTGTTGCAACACCGCTTGCAAGGTGCGCATCAGTGAGTAGATGTTTGTCTTAAAAATGCTGCTTTGAGTGTGTTCCTCCTTTCAGCCGTTCACTTTCTTTATGTCTTCCAGATGGCTTCTGCTTGGCAAAGTGTCGTATCTTTACACCAGAGGATGGTGGACTATGGAGGTATGATGATGACAGCTCCCCACACACACATATATATAGTTCATGTCAGTTCATGTCAGTTCCTGCGAGTTGTAGAAGAGATTCCCCGTCTGGAGAACAAGCCTATACATGTGTGTTCAGCGTGTGGGAGCTGGGAGCTGCAGATGTGCTCCCCCTTTCACAATGACCTCTTTGTGGTTGTCACATGATTTGCCACCAAGCCATTATTTAAATGACATTATCTTGTAACAGTGGTGGAAATACCGGAGCAGGAGGAAGAGGAACCTTTTGATTATCAGAGAAGAACTGCCATTTTACTTTGTGTAGGCCCTAATGTAATAAATATGTTATGCTTTTCGAATCAGGAGCTGGTTTAAACTACACACATTAACAGGTCATCTGAGCTGAACTGGAACAAGGAAAACTGTAAAAACCTGGCAGAGACTGAATCCAAAAGCATCTGTAATAAGTGCTGGAAGTTTGGGGGGAATCAGGGCAGTTCTTAAAACTTGTAATAAAAGCCACAGATGTGCCCTGTAATGTATTTGTTCATTTGTAATTAATGTCTAAAAGGCCCTGACGCAAAGCCCTCTCATGTTTCAGACAAGAGGACGGACCCGTGGCTGCTGGTCTACTCCCCCATCCCGGTGTCGATCATCTTCCTGCTTTACCTCTGTGTGGTCTGGTTCGGCCCCCGCCTGATGAAAAACAGACAACCTGTTGACCTGAAAGCCGTTCTCATTGTTTACAACTTTGCCATGGTCTGCCTGTCTGCCTACATGTTCTACGAGGTGCGTTTGTGCTGCTTTCTGTCCTGCATTAACAAGCAAAACCAAATCAATCAAGAGCAACAGTCATGATGGAAATATTCCGTATCAATTTCCAGGTGTGAATATGTCTAAAATGTCTTTTTTTTAATTTTCTCATAGCTGCTGCTTCCTCTTAGAAATGTATGTTGATGTTGGTGGTGTGTTGTTTCATTAAGTAATTGTTTGAATATTTACCAGTTCCTGGTCACATCCAGGCTGTCAAACTACAGCTTCTCCTGTGAGCCTGTAGATTACAGCAACAGCCCGCTGGCAATGAGGGTAAGCAAGTGTTTTACTTGATTAATTTAGACACTGTGTGTGCACATTTAGAACATAATGCACAGGAAAATAATACTACAGTGTAGCCGACAGTGCAAGTGGTAAGATAAAACATACAGTTGATACAATGAATAATGTGTAAAACCCACCTTTCTCCATTATTTTCTTCTTCCAGATGGCCAGTGTCTGCTGGTGGTTTTTCTTCTCCAAGGTCATAGAGCTCAGTGACACGGTACATGTTTGTTACAACATTTGCAGTTTCAGTGAAAGAAGAGGTGTAAGAATGCCAAGTTGAAAACTGTAACAGTTTAATCTGCTCCTCTCTATGAGCAGATCTTTTTCATCCTGAGGAAGAAGAGCAGTCAGGTGACCTTCCTTCATGTCTACCACCACGGCACCATGATCTTTAACTGGTGGGCAGGAGTCAAGTATGTGGCCGGCGGAGACTGTAAGTAAACTATTTGTGAAGTTTTTGTGAGCTAGTGCTGTGATGATGCTGATAGAAAAAACAGATAGGAGCACGAGGTTGTGCATGGAGGATAAATCTGGTGATTTTTCATGTTGCTAACAAATCCAGGGCTGTAAACGGTGGGGACTCCTTTTCATTATTATTGTTACGACGTCAAACACAGGTCTAACGGCCAAAGCGCGAATATTGGAGGTTGTGGCTAGAACTGACACTTGTTTTGTCAAGACTGTGAGTTTGTGAGGCATCTCGAAGCTCACGTCAGCTGTTTAATTCTGTCACCAGAGTGTAGACCCCGCTCTGTACCAGCTTCACTTCGCTGTTCACCATTTAAATATTTGAACGTCAGTGCGTTCTCGTTAAATGCGTTCAAGGTTCACTGTTTCTTTGGAAAATAATGTCAATTGGAGCCAAATTTTGTGTACATAATAAAAATACCCAAAATTTATACATTACATTTAAGCTGACGCCTTTGTCCAAAGCAACTTACAATTGCTATATGTCAGAGGTCGCACGCTTCTGGCGCAACTAGGGTTAAGTGTCTTGTACATGACACATTAGTGGACATGTTACAGTGGGGGATTGAACCCGGGTCTCTCACACCAAAGGCATGTATTTTATCCACTGCTCCATCACCACCCCTTCAATTCATCATTGATAGTTACTGATTATTGTATCAATGCACAGTCATGGACTGCTGCTGGCTCACCAGGGCCCCAAATGTGTATTAATCCACAGCTGAAAATGGTCCCCAACAAATACACTATTTTATCCTGTTTGAGTAAGATTTTCTAAAAACTTCAGTGCCCAGCTGCTGAAATGAATTTGTATTTTTTAACGAAACTATATTTATGAGATGTTTTTAAATGTCTTCAGTAGGAATGAATGGAAAATGAATTAAGTACCATAGACAGGTTAGTTTTGGTCTTTTTATAATAAAACTATAAATTAACAATAACTATAGAATGAAACCTTTAACTGTAGGATTTGTCTACTCCCTAAAAAAAAAACGCAGAAGTGAAACGGTTTACAGTAGGTTTTCACATAGAACGAATCTGTTTTGGTATTTTGGTGCATAATGAAAAACAAGTATATTTTAATGTATATTTCGGAGATGTTTTTAAAAATGTATGTCTTCGGTAGGAACAAATGGACTTTGAATTTGTGCCACATACAGAAAAGTTAGCTATAGAATTATACCTTTAACTATAGGATTTGTACACTCCCTATGGAAACGCCCTTCAGCGAGACTTGGGTTTGATTATAATCAGACGCTAAACAGGTTTATAGTAGGTAAGTCAATTCATTCATCTTTAAACACGACGGATTTCATTCCAAAGATAGCAGACATTCAGTTGTGTCCCCAGGATCACCAGATAGTGACGTATTAGAAACAACCTCTAATGAGTTACAGGCGTGTTTGTGTGAGGGTAAGATGATGTTTAAATTGAACAAATAACCCAAAAGCACACAAAAGAGACCAATTGTTTCAACTAAACAGCTAGCTGGCTGGATGTTGGTTGTAAAAATGGATAAAAAGAACCTCCTTAAGTTCATTACTTCATATTCTACATCATGTTAGTGTTCAGATGCTCTCTGGTGCATCGCATAGATGTTGTTTCAGCCCCTGAAACTAAACTGTAATATTAACAAAACATCTGATTGTGTCATTCTACTGTGTGTCTGCTGCATCACACTCTATATTATTCAAAGTTAAAACTTCTAGGCTACCACACTCACTGCATTTTTTAATTTAAATGACTTAAATTGATTTTGAGAACATTCAAAAGGCCTGAATGTTCCTCTGTTTGTATCACATCCTTGCAGCGTACTTCGTCGGCATGATCAACAGCTTCGTACACGTTGTGATGTATTTTTACTACGGCCTGGCTGCCATCGGCCCTCACATGCAGAAGTACCTGTGGTGGAAGCGATACCTCACGTCCCTGCAACTGGTGAGAGGCCCCTGCTCTGAATGAAAAAGGATTGTGAATGTGCATACAAGGTGTTTGTGAACGAAGCTGATCTGAACCTTTTCCCCCGACTGCCCCTCCAGCTGCAGTTCCTGCTGTTCCTGATACACACGGGCTACAACCTGCTCACAGAGTGCGACTTCCCCAAGTCCATGAACTTGTTTGTGTTTACGTACTGCTTCACCCTCATCATCCTCTTCAGTAACTTCTATCATCAGAGCTACCTCAACAAGAAGAAGCAGATATGAGACAGTTTCCTGTAACTGCAGTGCTTGCCAGCGTCCACAAGAGGGAGCAACATGCTCACAGCTCGGAGGTTTTTCTTATGGTGCTCATTATTAACTGCAGGTTTAGCTCTACAGTCTAATACTAACTTTACAGACATGTACAACTAATGTGAACGATTTTAGTACTTTCTGCGGTTTTTTGGAGCATCAAATACATATCAGAAAACAGATACTGTGTGATCATTCAGTTATTTATTTCTTAAATTGAGAAATGACAAACATTCAAACGATTGCTGTAAACAAACTGTACATTTTTTACATATTAATAAGTAGGTTGGTTTTTTTCTGCATTATCGCAGAGTTACTGAGTTCAAACCCTCCTCCAGAGATAAATCCAAAAGGCAAAAAAACCCCACTTAACAACAAAATACAGAAATGCAAACATTTTTTTCCCCCACTGTTAAAACAACACGGCAACGTGATATATTCTTTTCTACACTTCAGTCAAAATAGATTGAATGATGTAGATTAGAGAGAGAAAGCACGACGAGGAGGGAGAGGACATTTCATTTCTATTCAGGAGTTTTGTAGTGTTTGATGTTTGTGTATCAGAATCTGCTTTATTGGCCAACTATGTGTACACATCCAAGGAGTTCGACTCCAGTTTTAAGTTGCTCTGGGTGTAATTACACGCAGTTCAAAGAACAATTTTCAGTAAGATAGAAATATTGAAGCTAAAAACATTGTGTGAGCTTGATCTGATTGTACTGTTGAGCGTCTTAGGACCAGTGTCACCAAGTCAGATTTTTTTGTACATGATGAGTGCTTGGCCAATAAATGTAATTCTGAACCTAAGAAATGAAGCGCATGGCTATTTGAACGGCGAAAAAAAATCTGATTTCCTCAGCTTTCTTTTTCTTTACTGATAAGAAAGGGTCATTTATTTGACTTGAGTCATTCCTTTATTTAATGTGAGTAGTTATCGGAAAGCTCCCACAGGCTCCCATAGGAGACAACATACAACTGTTTTCACAGGCTGAGTACTGCTCCTCTTGACAATTAAACTGAGCTTCATGTGTATAATCAGCTGAGCAACCCTTTAACAGCATATAAACGCAGACAATACCTCAAATCTTTGCCTATTTTCTAAAGGATAATTTTTAAGACAAGGGGGTAGAAAATCAATTGGTAACATCTGGAAAACATGCAACCAGTGACGTGACATTGTTGTTTTAATTAGTCACAAGCAAAACAGTTTGGGAACCACTATTCTTCTTACCTATTCGGATTATTAGTGCCGTTTACATCTTGACCATTCATAGTTCCAGGTAAACAGTTAATCACACGGCAGTATACTAAACTGACTTCCAAACGTCTTTATGTCTGTTTCATCTGGCAGTTATGCAGGTCAGAAGAAGCTATAAATTACTCTGATTTAATGTGTGACCCATATCTTGCATAAAACAAAGAACCAGAAACAGGAGCTGGGGAAGAGGTGATCCAGGTGTGTTAAGACGCTGTGGAAGGACTGCAGAGTAGGTGTGGTGAAGCGTGCCCGGCTCCAGTGTTGCTCTATGTCTCTGTGTAGACGGAGGACATGTGGCTCAGGCTACGGTCAAAGCTGCCCACCTGGAAGAAAATGCTCTCCTCTGGGCTGGAAGAGAACTGGCACCCTGCGCCGCCTTGCAGCTCCTGGGTCATGCTGAAGCCTGGGACAGACGAGATCAAGTGCAGTTTGTTTAACACTTTGGTGAAATCAATCAGGTGATCTGCTGATGGCATTCAGGCTCTAGGTAAAATGTCCTCACCTGCCGTGCCTGTGTTGCTTGTCGACATGTGGAAGCCATTCTGTTGATGGGAAGTGTAGGAGTGAGAATCTCCCGGGACATGGACGCCTCCGACCGTCTGCTCCATCCTGTAGGAGTCTCCAAAATGGAAGCAGCTCTGAAAGCTGCCTTGGTATTCTAGGAAATGAGGGGATGATGTAAAGGAGCAGGGAGGAAGAGAGGAGAAAAATAGAAGCCAGACTTGAGCGACTTCCACCATGTGTCTATGGGCAATTGTTTCTAAGGTCAGTAAGTGCCCGATCCATCCGGCTGAAACCTGATGTGGATCTCAAATTATGACAATGCTATATTTGTGCTTGTGCTAACTGTGCCAGCCCCATAGTATGTAACATTTGTCCCCATCATCTCAGTTTGTACTCAGAATGGACCGCAGGAGTCACGATAATGGGAGAGCAGCCTTTCCTGGAGCGCTTTTTACGCAACTCCCTGACCACAGCGCGGTTAGAGAGACGTCCATGTGTAGATCTTTACAGGGAAAACAGTGTTTAAGGCATTAGGAAAACGGCTCGGGAGTGACAGCTGAGCCTGTCATGTTAAGGCGCTGAGAGACAGCTGAATACATGAGCCAGCATTTTGTTGGCTAATTCAGCGCAGGGAAAAGGCTTCCGGCGTGTGGTTTTCCCCACTCTGTCTCTATGACTCTAATCTCTCCCCGTCCTAAAAATGCTCTGACAGAGCCACAGGGCAGTATCGCTGCTCTAAAAGACAACTTCCTCTGTTTGAGGCCTTTCATGTGAGTCTCCTGTTACAGTAAGCATTTTAAAAAAGGACACAAGGGTGTTCTTATGTATATTCAAGTGATCTGACACTGTGAAATCTCTCATAGGAAGTCCTTTAAAAGTAATCCTCGGGCTACATGTTACTGATTGAACTGGAACAGGAAAAATTGTAGGATATTAAATTGAAATGCCAATCAACAATTTCAAAACATATTTCCTGAAACAAGTTAAGTTACATTCAGCCAGATATCCTTGGGTCAAGTCTTACCGTCGTTGGCAGACTGATGCTGGTGATAGTGAGAGTAGGGCTTGTGGTGAGGGTGGACATGCTGTTTCTCCAGAGGAGGAGGAGGAGGAGGAGGAGTCCCTGTTCCCTTTATCCCCGGAGACAGGAGGGGATCCGACACCCTGGAGGAGACACAGAAAAAGTAGGTGAAATGTTCATTCTAAACCTCTCGATCTATCATTCATCCCTTTCCAGATGGTCTCAATAATTTCTTTATAGAATGCTTCATGCATTGTGATATCCCAATTCGAAGACACGGCTACACGCCGGCCCGCTAACGACTTGTTCCGGCAAACCCAGTGGAGCTGTTAGTAATCCTAAACACACAGAAGAAGACATTCCAGGCGTGTGGAAACTTAGGCTCCCCACACGTAATTGTCGTCCTACCACATATTATGATCTTAAGTCAACAAACAGCAGAGCGTGCATTCAAGTGAAACACCCCCGCGCCCCTGTACACACTGCCCACCACTGCAGTAACCCCAGCCTTTATGGCCTTAAGAGAAGAAAGCACAATAGTGTTTACATTCATGACTTCTGAGAAAAAGAAATATTAAGATGACATGTTTGTAACTTTGTGGACTCTTAAGTGCCTGGAGAACAGCTGACGTTTCCACATCGGCTTATTTTTGTGGATGCTGATCACTTAAACAACGGTCTGATACAGCAGTCTCAAATCACACTTAGGGACAAAATCTCAACCTAATCAATTTAAATGAAGCATACTGGCAAGCTTTCTTTGTGTGCGCTGGGAATACCACAATCTGGAGATCAAATGGTGAAATATTACGATCATTCCAGCTGACTGTAACTCCGCCATTTAGCGTCACAGTTCATCCTCGAAAACCTTCAGAATGAAATGAAACCTCTGCAGCACGCTTCAGTGAGTTTGTACAGAAGCTGTCAGCAGCATCTGAGACCAGGTTCTGTACAAAACCGTATTGTCTAACAGGAGAAGTATGCTGTTATCATGGTGGTTGATGGCTGTAAAGTGTGCACATAAAGGGATTTCTAAATATTTGGAGAATTACATTGTACATTTTAAGGGGGATCCTACAGCAAAATCATCACAGTTGTAGAAACAGCAGCAGAAATGTAAAACCTCTTTCAGACATGCCTCACATTACATAAATGTGATGGCAATTTTTCATGTCGTGTCTAAATAAGCCCTTAACATGGAACAAGTCTGAACTGAATCACTATAAAGGAATAGTTTGACATTTTCAGAAAAACTCTTTGTTTTCTTGCCAAGGGTTAAATTGATACCACTCTCATGTCTGTACAATCAATGTGAAGCTAGAGCAAGGAAATGGTAAAAATCCACCTACCAGCATCTCTAAAGCTCATGAACCAATATGTTATCTGTTTACTTAATCCACAAAAACTACAAGCAGGTTGTACGTAGTAAACATATATGACGAGCCAATTAGTGAGGTGGGGTGGTGCTAGTAGGTGGATTTTGTTAGAGCCAGGGTAACTGTTTCCCCAGTTTCCAGTCATCATGCAAAGAGAGATATTTAATGGGTGTCTTGTTTCGCCTTCATAAGATCACTTAATAACTTTACTCAGGAGCAGCAAGAACCATGTCTGGTATTTATTCAGACAC